CAAGAAATCAGTAGCAGATGTAAACGATTTTGAACACGATGGGCACTGACGTATGTCTTTACATAAATCTATGGAAGTATTTAACGATTCTCTTTTCAAATACAAAAAAAGTCCATCATCATCATCATCAACCGTATATGATCGAATTGGACGAACGACCAACAGTTAGCATATCTCCCTCATTAGTGGACATATTGCGGCAATGCGACATGACGAGAGTTAATCCAGGAAGGTGGGCCTTCATCAGGCGCCAAATAATTTCTAAACAAATACGATTAAACATTCGTTTTCAATGGTATCGTCATGAAGTATTGAAATTCTTTACGAAATTGGCTATTGGCAACAAGTCTGCAAAAGTTATTGATGATGATGATGATGGACTTTTTTTGTATTTGAAAAGAGAATCGTTAAATACTTCCATAGATTTATGTAAAGACATACGTCAGTGCCCATCGTGTTCAAAATCGTTTATATCTGCTACTGATTTCTTGAAGCATCAAATTAATATACATGATCGTTTAGAACTACTCTTTGCTACTAACAGAATAAAAAACAAAAGTTTTTCAGAGCGTTATGAAATAAAGAGACGTCGACATGCTTGGTTTTCAAGAAAATTGTTAAGCATTCGAAATAAAAAAAGACATATTAATCAACAATATGTTAATAATCTACCTTCAAATCTTCTTCTATTTCATTTCATTAATGTTATACTAATGACGAGCATTTATGAAACAAGAATCAAAGAATCTACATGTAGATCAATAGGAAAGTTTTCTTGTTGGATCTGTACCAAGAAGTACCAATATAACGAAGATTGTGTACAACACTTTATTGCGTGCCATTTTGTACCTTTATCGAATTCAATGGATACTTTGGACGCTCTGACTAATACTTTAACGAAATCATTTAAGTGTTGGGAATGCAAAAAAGAACTTAAATCGGAAAACGGTCGATTATATCATTTTGTTCAACAGCATGCTCGAGCTATTTTATCAATTGATGCTGATCCATCAAGTAGCCTTCAGAAACAGATCCAGAAAGCAGAAGATCTATTGAAAACAACCACTAGTAACAGTACCACAGTATATGATAAATCAATGCTTTCTACAAATGCTAGATTATTAACAAAGCCCGTTAATGAAACAGAGGCAAAACAAGACCATATAAAAAGTACCGATTTGAAAAATAATCGTATAGGTAAAACAATATTCTGTCTACAATGCAATAAAAAGTTCCGGTCCACTGGTAAATTTAAAAAACATATCGATGCGAAACATTCTCGAATTAATTGTGATACAACAACGTCTAATATAAGAATTCTCCCAGACAGAACTTTACGTTTGAACGAACAATTGCAATCCGAGAATGATATAAATATTAATGCACAAAATTCATCTTCTTGTTCGCAATATTTAGAACAAATAGAACCGACTAATAATTCTGTCCACCAGTTTACTGATAATCATGTTGAATTAGCTACTTCCTTACATAGCTTACCATCAATTCCTTTTATTAACATAAATTCAGCCTCATCGTATCAGATAAAAAACACCGAACAAATGAACTACTCCGCAAGTTTATCATGTAGAAGCTCAAATTGTGTTGAGATATTCGAGTCAACAAGCAATTATGATAATAACTTGAAAACAAAAGGTATTGAAATTAATTCATCTATATCAACCAAGACGATAGATCATGTAAACATGATGAAACAAAGTAATGATTGTATTAGAACATTTCCTTGTTGGCAATGTGACAGGAAATTCCAATCCGTCAGCGAGCGTTTAGATCATTGCCTTCGTAAACACGCTATCTACTTCCGATCTAAAATTTTGAATTTATTAGCATATGCGAATAATCGTGTAGAAGTTCCACAATTTCTTGCAGATAGTACTAAGGTTTCGATATCTTCTACAAAAAGATCTTTTAGAAGTTGTCAATGTATGAAAAAATGATTTCCGTCCGAAAGAAGTTTCCTATCTCATTTTGTTTCCAAACATATGACGTTAATTCTATTCAAAGATAGTGATCCATCGAGTTTCCTTGATAATCAACTAATACTTGCACAAGAGGATATCAAGACTTCAAAAGATGCCACTATTGCCATGAGTGCATCGGTCGATTGCTCACAATATTCTGAGCAATTTGGACTGAATTCTGATCTCGATCAACATCATGAAGCTCTTCATAATCAATTAGATATGTCAAACATGATAGAATCACAACATTCCAATGAACAACCAGATCATGTTAATGAAAACCAAAGCAAAACTGATGAACACATCAGCACTTCGAAAAGTCTTATATTTGATTATTCTCACTTTAGATTAAATTTCGAGTCAACCACTCATCAAGATTCACATTTAACTAGCGTACAGTCTATGCCTATTTTAACACCTGAGATTACACAACATACGAATGATTTTTCAACAGCGCTTCCTTGTTGGGATTGTTCCAAGAAATTCAAAACGGTTAACGGTCGCTGGATGCATTTTGTCAGCCATCATATTTTATCAACCATATCCATTTTTGAGATACAATCGGATCTTGACGGTAATAAAACAGATTCTCAACACAGTACGCCCAATAACATAGTGGTTTCGAGTACTTCTCTCACTAAGCAGCAATTTAAATGTTGGTCATGTACTAAAAAATTTCAATCAGATCAAAGTTTCTTACATCATTTCGTTGAGAAGCATGCCAATTTTATTTTATCTCTACCTAATAATCCCATTGATATTCTTAAAAATGAAATAATTAAGGTAAAACAAAACGTCGTGACTTCATCTATAGATGATACAGCAACATACCATTGTTCACAAGAATTAAAAGATTCGAAATCTACAGACACTAAAGAAATGAATATTCAGAGCAAACAAGATGATTCTTTTTCATCTAATACTACACTAACAACAAATCATATTGATGTCGACATGGCAACAACTCAGTATCAGAAGAAAACTGCAGAAAATTTGGTTAGGTCTATCAATTTGCAACATCATCAAGTATCAAATACACATCTATTCAAGTCAACGGGATTTTCCAACGTCGATTTTCATAACCAGAAGCTTGACTTTGACTCATACATAAGTGTGGACTTACCAAACACTCATATCAATCAGTCAACAATAACAACAAATCAACATGATGCCGCCGAACATGTGCAATCTAGTTCGAAAATGTTTTCTTGTTGGAAGTGCTTTGAGAAATATAAATCTGCTCCTCGCCGTTTATATCACTTTATATTGTGTCATTCAGAATTATTTCTACCTGCCACGGTTATGCCATCGAAATCTACGAGTAAGTATACAATATTATATGATAAACAAATAAATAAATTCAATGTTTCAGTAAATCTACTAAGTGACGCATATCTTTGCTGGGACTGCTCAAAAAAATTTAAATCCTCTCCTGCTCAAGTATCTCACTTTATTGACAAGCATGCTAAAACTATTCTATCCATGGATATTGATCCATCAGATATTCTGCAAAATCAAATAACGAAGGCACAAGAACGAATGAAAATCAAACAAAATACAGTTATTGATATAAAAGCATCATCTAACTTTTCTCATTGCTCAAATCCATATAAAGCAAATAACGATCTTTCGAATCATACCAATAGTAAACATACTGTAAACATTCTTCCTTTGACATCTGAAACACGAAAATATGTCGATAATAAAACAAAGCAGATGATAGCACAGACAAAAGTCATACAAGACGTGGCTGACCCTATCAATATGTCTTTGGATAGTTCAAAATTTTCCTTCAAATTCGATACAGTCGATAATAGCTCAATATCCTTAAATATGAAATATTTAGATGTCATGACACGAGCAACTTCGGCATCCCTGAACAACTTTTTACCAAAGCGATCATTGTTGCGTATAACATATTATTGCCAACAATGTCAGAAAAAATTTACATCTGTTAATGATCATTTAGAACATTTTCAAAACGAACATAGACAAGTGAAATTATCTAAAGAAACTTTAGAAGAATTTTTCAGTGATACAGGAAGTATGCAATGTCCTAAAGCCAAATTTCCCACAATCGTTTATATGTTACTTGGATCGACTCGGAAGCAAATTCGAATCACATTTGACAAGATGAATCATTGTCCTTATCAAGCATGCCAATTAGAAGTAGTTAATTACGAATTTAAACAGTTTTGGGTACATATAATTAAAGAACATGCAGCCGAACACATAAAACTCGAATGCTGTGATCCTATGATGATGTATACTCCAGAAGAATATATGAAACATAATCAAATTTTTTATTAGAATCCTTTGACTATGACATTTAACATAAACATTATTATAATCGAGTGTGCCCTATTAAAAGTCAGTATAGAGTAAACTTCTACAGTTTAATATGCGATAAGAATGATTTGTTTCTCATAATGTAATGTTGAGTAAATGAATTCTGGTCTGTTAAGAAGAAATAATAATTGCCTTGATTTTGTACCAAGCATTCTTATTTTTCCTAAAATTTTCTTGTGTTCAAATGACAATTTCATAAAAAGTGAAGAAGTTTGCTTAAAGATAACTAACAGAGTTTTCTATTTTTCGACATGAAAGTAGAAAATTTCATTTGTGTGCGTATCTTGAACTATAAGGCTCATGTCTTTCTATACGATATTCATGATAGAACGATATCATATCATTATATATTTACGATTGGTGAAAATCGAAGATCGATAAATGTTGATGATCTCAAGATAATCGTCTTACACCAATCGACAATATAGATGGATGTTAACATCGGTAGTCGCTGAAAGTAAATATGCACAATCCATGCAGAAATGTGTGAGTGTAGTTGTACATGACTTGCATTTTTTTCAACTCTTTTTCGTTTATCACCTATGCATGCAAATGTTATGCAACTGAAAAATGAAATACTATCTGGAATCAGAGATGGGCAACTCCGGCTATGTGCAACTCCAACTCCGACCAACTCTACTCCATTTTTCTAAATCCCCACCCCAACTCTAACTCCAACTCCGAATA